CCCCGAGCCCCCTCGTACACCCCGCACCCCTCCTCTGCTCCAACACCTTGCCCCGAGCCCCTTCCTGCACACTGCACTCCTTCTCGCACCCAACCCCCTGCCCGAGCCCTACATTCGTGGCCCTGCAAGCAATTTCCCCACCCAGATGTGGCCCTTGGGCCAAAAAGTTTGCCCACCCCTGCACTAGGAGCTTCTCCAAAACCTTTCCTGCAGTAAATCTATTTCCTTGACTCCGAAGTAGAGCATATTCTTCTAACATGGGGCAGAGATAGTGGGAAAATGTCAAGAAAACTTTCTTGTAATGATCTCCCTATCAGATTAGCTTTGAACAGAATGAACCGCAATAAAGATTTTTGAACCAGAGGTGATACTTCCAAACACCAATGTTCAGAGGCCTATCTGCAAGTCAGCTACTATCCCTATGAATGCTACTGCCAAACTACTTGGTGCTACCACCTTTGATGTTTTCACTCCCAGAATTTTTCCCCCCCAAAGTGTGTAGTTTAGGATTGCAGTCACCGAACTGAGAAGACTGGGTTTAGACGGGATCACAAGATGAAGAGGGGTCAGTACTTTAAAAGGCCATGTTTGTTATGGGTATAAAGATGGGAAGTTCTGAGAGAAACAGCCAATCAAGGTACAAAGATTTGTAGTAGCCAAGCACAGCAAAGAAGCGAGATGCCATTTCAATATAACAAGTTGATGGCGTTTTCTTTAACTCTGCAATAGCAATATCACAGGCAAATTAACATCTAAACTTCAGAGATTATTTAGTCCAGGACACAGTTATTACAAAAGTATTAAAATATCAACCATTTTATACAGAGGAGTCATAGTGCTCTTCTACTGAATCTCACAAAATACCATAAAGATGTTTTTCTGAAATATCACATTATTGGAAAATGTTGATTGAACCATGCAGAAACTTTACTCCTGGAGGTACTGACTAAAGATACACAGTGACATCCTCTCTCTCAATCAATATGCTTAACCATAATAGTATATATCCTTATACTGTATATAGTGCTTTACATTTTCAGAGTGCCTTACAACCATTAACTAATACCAGGTGGATAATAGCAAGCATTCAGTCCATGAGGTGGCTCAGTAGTTTGTTTCTACTATATTCTCTCAATCATGATCTTTTTACAGAAAATCTTTGATGATTATATCAATTAAGCAGCATTTCAGATGTCTGAGTAAAGCAGAATACAAACCATCAATTTCAATTTACTTACATTATGTGTGTAGCCATTTAATCAGAATGAAAAGCATTTAATTTTGAAATTGAGAAATAAATTAGTCGTATGGTTGGCATATGACCCCTGTGACTTATTTGAAATGTCCTACATGTATATACTTCAAGATGTGTATAATGGTATTTAACATAACTCACCATCTTTGCTAAAAACACAGGAACTAACAGAACCTTCATGACCTTGGTTCAAGCAAATAGGTCCATGATAACGAAACTCCCCTGTTTTTATATCCCATATTTTTAAGGTTTTGTCCCAAGATGCAGTGCACAAGTAATGACCATCTATGGAAAAGCAGCAGTCTGAGATGACATTGGTGTGTGCCCTGAAATACAAATGAAAATGACTGCACCAGGATACTGTGATTTTTAAAGCCATTAGAATGCTGTAAGGGCTTGATCTTGCAAGGTCTGAGCACTCTGGCCCCATCTAGTGAAGCACTTAAGCACATTCTTAGCTTTTATCATCTGAGTAGTTCTGTAAAAGTCACTTGAACTGCTCATTTGCCAAAGCTTAAGCATGTGATTAAGTGCTTTCCTAGATGCGACATAGTGTTTAACATCTCACAGGATTGAGTACTAACTGAGTTTTAAGTAGAACTTATCACCTGCTTCTTGTCACCCACAGGTAACAAAAAATCCTCTGATTACTACACTACACACCAGTTTAATTAAACGCCAACATTGAAGGGTGAGCTACGGATCCCTTCAAATAAACATCTGAAGAAGTGAGGTTCTTACCCATAAAAGCTTATGCTCCCAATACTTCTGTTAGTCTTAAAGGTGCCACAGGACCCTCTGTTGCTTTTTTCAAATAAACAGAGTCTCTCTCTAGTTTCATTTATATATATATATATATAAAAATGAAACTATATAGTGATTTGAATTCTACAGTGAACTCCAATTTTGAGAACAGGGGGTGCACTTCAAGAAAGAAGTCTCAAAGTTCCAGAACCTGACAGGACTTTAGCAATTCCTGCAGTCCACAATGGGGAAGGGATTACAAGCATCTCTGCAGGAAACAATGCTATATCCATTGCAATTTAAAAGAAAGATTAGTAAAATGTTCCAGCTCTGAGTCTCCCATTCTAAGTAAATTCCTAATCCTTTTAAGGGCAACTTTAATAGTACTTTTTTATACAGACAATTTATGATTAATGCTTTTATGATTTAAAACCAGAACCACTGAATTTGTTAATGTTTTTCAGTAGCTCATCTGATATCTTCATTTGTTGCATACTCCCTTCTTACACAGACAATATCATTCTATCTTTATATAAGGATTTTCATGTATTATTGACTTCAGTGGGAGTTGTGGGGGCTTCTCTCAGGATCAGGATACAGGCACATACACCAATAAAATGCAGCAACACACTCAATAACAGAAAGGATATCAGGGAAATCCCTAATATTAAGAATAGTGCTATAGGAACTTTACAGTCACTATGATCAGAATGGATTTCAGGTGTTATGTTCTCATCTGAAATGTCTCCAGTCAGTGCACAGAAGTCAATCTATTTACCTCACAATGATGAAGGGACAGTTTGAACCTCTAAAGATTTGACCTTTTGGTACCACCTGAGTTTCAGATTCATAAGCCATCAACTCTAGATAGTGAATTACCCACTGTGAGTTTCTCTCCGGATAATTTCACTCTGATTCCACACTCAGATCAAGACCTATCCTTCTCCAAAAATATATCCTGTACCATGTATATGTTCCATTTTGCAGTCCTTTTAGAGACCTGTATCATGCTAAATGGTGTTTCATCTTCTTCACATTTGTTAATGTTATTTATTATCCAGTGTTGCTAGTCCCGAGAGACATCAGCAACTAGCTTCCAGTTCAACAGCACATTCTCCATGCTATTGTTTGCTTTCTCCACTATCAAATTCTATGTCTCAGTACCTAGAAACTATGATGGTTAGCTTTAGTTAATGCTTACAGATGGACAGATGCACCTCATCTATCATTCACATCAAGAAGCTTGTATATAGCATATTATTTAACCTTTCCATGTGTAAGGGAACTGTTGTCCCCTTACTAAAACTCAGAGGGGGTGTTTTGGTTGGCTAGCTCCCAGTACCAAAAGAAAGGGGAAGGGTCAATGGGAAATCAGGACCCTGAGACTGACAGTCCCCAGGAATAATGGGGAGAGGCCAATGCTCCAGGTCGGTTTGATTGACAGGGCGGGCAGGCTAATCAGGGAGTCAGGAGGCCAGGGGGGGGTCCTGTCCTCCCGGTGAACTGGAATTGCCTGGGTCAGACAGCGTGGGGCTGAGCTAAGGAGAAAGCAGGAGCCTAAGCTGAGCTGGGGAGCACAGCTGTGCCAGATCCAGAAGGGCCAGAAAAGCAGCCCAGGAAGCAGGCCAGTGCTGGGAGGAGAGCTGCAGCAACCAGAGCCAGAGGGGCCAGAGAAGCAGCCCAGACAGCTGGAGGCAGAGCAGCAGCAGCAGTGCTGAGGCAGAGTGGAGCTGAGACTGGAGCAGTCTGGAGCTGGGTGCGGTGAGCGGCTGGCAAGAGCAAGGGGAACCCTGGGCAGCAGGTCCAGTGCAGGGAGACACCTCCAGCCAAGAGGCCTTGCAGGTCAGACTTGAAAGGGGATCGTAACTCCAACAGGGTGGGGGCGACGCTGGGAAGAAGGGTCCTGCCACCTAGAGCCTGAGCGCGTGGCCGCTGCCAAGGCAAGTGTCTGACCTGCAGCAACCCTGCAGCACAACCAGGGCCTCAGAAGGCGCCTGGGACTTGTGAGGAACAGACTGAATTTCCCTTACATTCCAAAGAGTCGCTGGTTGTGATGTCCCCGTGCCACACAGCAGGGTTATGTGTTTTCCTTGAGCCTTTCCCATTTTTTCCTTATTTTTTAAAATTGATTGCTGTTTAGTAAATTGTATTTGCTTTGAACTGTATGTAATGATCAGTGGGTCAGGGAAGCATCCAGCGCAGAGAGAGCACCCCGGAGTGGGGACACCCTAGCCCCTGCCCTAAGTGACCACAACAAGGTTGGGGGTTGAGCTCCGCAGGAATCCTGGGCCCAGCCTTGTTGGGGTTACGAGGACTCTGCCACACAGGAGAGTGGAAGGGGAGCCCTTGAGGTCAGGCAGGCCTCTGGGTAAAGGAAGTGGGAGCAAGGACTCAGATCCTTTCGCTAGCCCATTTCACTGGGGTAGTGTATAAGCCAGGACAGTTCCCCATAAGCGGGACCATTCTCCGCTTACACATGTATTTAATGGTATGTTATTCAGCCTTTCCATGTATTATGCTATTCGGTTACATACTTACTGTTCATTTTCCCAGTATAAGTTGTAACACAAATTTCACGGATACTTTTTTTAAAAGTACATATAAATCTTGCCTAATATAGATATACTATGTTTTCTTACTCATCAATTGTAATAGTGGTGGATTGTGCTATAATGTCCCAAAGCTTTATGGTCTTATCAGATGATACTGAAGAGACTCTCTCATTATCAGGGTCAAAACAACATCTTGTGATTGTGCTTCTGTGGTGACCTATAATAAAAACCAAAACAAGAATATTACCTAACTTGTAATTCTGCTTCCTTTTGCTATTTTCAGGATTCTCACATCTGAATCTCAGCTCTCTAGTTCAAGAAAGGCAGAACTCCCTAAACTCTTGACTTTTTTTTCCCCCACCGAGGGCAGTGAGTAGGAGCACAATCCCCCTTTCTTCCCCAACTGGTGTCATACAAAACACCTGAACTAACTTACTGCCCTTCAAACCATCCAGTCCTGATTATGTAGGAAATGAAGGGAAAAAAAACAAACAAAAATTAGCCAATAACAAAACAAAATGTTTGAAAATGTAATCTGGCAAAAGGTAGGACAATAAAATATCAAAGTAAGAAAAAATTTCCTTCTGAGAGGAGGTAAGTAGGTTGAGTAAATAAGAATATCATATAAAATGATACCTTCAGAGAAGCAGGTCAGTATTCCCCCTTCTCTAATGATATCTTCCAGCCAAGATTCTAATTCATGGAGCGTAAGCAGTTCTAGGAATACCCCCAAAAGAACAACCTCAACAGGCAACAAGAACAAGTCCAATAACAATAATGTGAACAAGCAATTAAACCTTGGGCATGAAACAACAGTGGAGGTGGTGGCTTGGTTTCCCTACCTGTTACCACTAACAGTCTTAAAAACCATAAGAGCTTGGGGAGATAGTTCCTCCTATTTTACACTAGGGAGCTGGAGTCCAAGAGTGAGAATCCTGCACAAACATCATATTTAAAAAATACATTATTCCATGACGTACTCCAAACTGATTTTAATTGGTAATTTATAACAATTCTTTTAAATATCCTAGAAAGAATGTCATGTCAAAATAGTCACTGATGACTTGAGATAATTCACTCTGCTAAACCATTCTCGCTAACTGCCTGTGAAAGAAGTAAATTGGATTATATGCAGGCAATCCAAACTTGCAACCCCTGGCAGGTCATGAAGTTGATATTCTAGTTCTTTAGAGGAGGGCACAGCACTTTGCTTCTTAAGCACGGATTTTTGGCTAATATGAGGAATAGTGTAGGCAGCAGCTATCCTATTCTCCAAGCAGGGAAAAGGGTGTTGTGGTGCTGTCACTACATGAGAGAAGGATTAAGAGCCTATATCTAAGACAAAAGGAAATTTTGAAGTAAAAAGGTAAGCAATAATCTTGCAGACATTATCTGATTTAATTTTACAACATGCATTCCTCACGGATCTGGAGGGATCTGATGATATCTGAAATATCATACAATAGAACGACTCATTAAGCCAGGGGTCGGCAACGTTTGGCATGTGGCTTGCCAGGGTAAGCACCCTGGTGGGCCGGGCCAGTTTATTTACCTGCTGATGCGGCCAGCACATCGCTCGCCCACGCCGCTTCCCGCCGCCCCCATTGGGCCAGGACAGCGAACCACGGCCAGTGGGGGCCGCGATCGGCCAAACCTGCCACGTCAGCAGGTAAATAAACTGGCCCAGCCTGCTAGGATGCTTACCCTGGCGAGCTGCATGCCAAACGTTGACGACCCCTGCATTAAGCAGACTGTGATAAACATACAGCTAAGGGTAGCATAAAATCCCTCCTTTACCTGTACGGGGTTAAAAAACTCAAATAACCTGATTGGCACCTGACCAAAAGGACCAATAAGGGAAGAAGATCCTTTCAAATCTGTGGGGGGAGGTTTTGTTTGTGCTCTCGGGACAGAGAGAGGGACCAGGCAGGAAAAAAACCTCTCCTAAAACCCTACCTGAAATAAGCATCTAAGATTACAATAATTGTAAGTAAAGCAAGGAAATGCGTTAGATTATTTTTTGTTTTAGCTTGTGAATTTTCCCTATGCTAAGAGGGAGTTTTATTCCTGTTTTTTGTAACTGTAACATTAAGTCCAGAAGGGAGTCCTCCGTGTTTTAAATCTTTTATTACCCTGTAAAGTTACCTTCCATCCTGATTTTGCAGGTGTGATTCTTTTACTTTTTTCTTTATAATAAAGTTCTTCTTTTAAGAACCTGATTGATTTTTAGTGTCCTAAAAACCAGGAATTTGGTCTGTGCTCACTTTGTTAACCTATCGGTTGGTATATTATTCTCAAGCCTCCCCAGGAAAGGGGGTGAAGGGGTTTGGGGGGATATTTTGGGGAAATAGGAACTCCAGGTGGTCCTTTTCCTGAATCTTTGTCTAACTCACTTGGTGGTGGCAGCAATACTGTCCAAGGACAAGGAAGAATTTGTGCCTTGGGGAAGTTTTTAACCTAAACTGGTAGAAATAAGCTTAGGGGGTCTTTCATGCGGGTCCCCACATCTGTACCCCAGAGTTCAGAGTGGGGAGGGAACCCTGACACAGTGCTATGAAACTGTAGACTAACAAATATAAATCTTATATTTACTATCAACATATTACCAAAGTGAAATTCTATTATGAAAATATTGACTCCTCATTGTCTGTTATATTAGTTGTCAGCTATTCTGCAATGAGAACATGTAAACATGCACAAGTAAAACTTCATGACACACAGTAAAACAATTATCTTTGTAAATACTTCCTATCAACAAATAAACATCTATAGATGTTGAAATCATATTCAATCAACAGATTAAAGTCATATTAATCTAAACATTAATTTACAATAGTCTCAACAATGGGATTAGAATTTGCATGAAAAGTAATAAATTGGAAAAAGTTAAAGGACATTTGAAGTTCATGGTACAACTCAAAATCCAGTATATCATATGTGGAATTTTTTTTTAGCCACGGTATCATCCAGTCTGTATACAAAACAAGCTCATAGAAGGGTCTTTTTTTATAACAAACACGAAAGTCCCCAACACACAGTTCAGTTGAAAGGATACAATAAACTCCAGCAAAAGCAACACAGTGCATTGGAAAAGTTACGGGATACGTTAAGTTTTCCTCAGTTATGAATAAATCTCAGCTATGTTGTCTTTTGATCAATAACTTTATTAAAACATATCCTTATACTGTGCTTTAAATTAAAATTTAAAATTCAAAGGAGTAGTAGCTTTGTAGATTTTTCTTTTTTTGCTAATGAATCTAAAAATAAGCCACTAGCTCACCTTTCCATTGATTTTTAAACCTTCAGGCCCTAATCTAGCAAAATACATGATTAAATTTTAAGCATGTAATTAGCTCAATGAAAGTCAATGTAAACCAACTCTGGCCTGATAGTGTCCCTTTAAAGAATAATGGAGCTGTTGTCCATCTTGAAACTACATTCAGCTGTAGAGTACTTCTGACTTTTAAGAACAAGCAATTTCAGCAAAGCACTTAAATACATGTTTATATTTTAATTTATGAGATTGCTCATGTATTTAGGGCGTGATTCTGCAACATGTTGAGTGAGCATCTTCAACTCTCAAAGACTTCAATGGGAGTTGAAGGTGCTCAGCATATCCAAGAATCAAGTCCTTAAACATGTGCTGATGTGCTTTTCTGGACTGCAATCTCAGCACTGAAATTGCTTTGAAAGGGGAATTGTGCTTAAAAATCAAAACCACCGTCAGACTAATTTTAGTCTACAACATAGTTTTTATAAAAACAAGTTCTTACAAAGTCTAAGACAAATAGAAGTTTTTCCATAAACTTTTTAAAAACAAAAACAAAGTCACAGAAATATTCTTTTAAATTAAATAAACATGCCCTTGCAGTGTTTGCATCCCAAATATGTGTTATTGTGCCAATTTATGAAACCCAGAAACTGACTATAAACCAAAGTGATATTAAATAGTCAATTTTTTACAGGGCAAAGAGATGAAATTTTAAAAAAGAAAAATTGATTAAATTGTGAAAAGTAAATTAGATTGTTAAAAACCGTAACAATCTAAAGTGATATTTGTAACAAATAACTGTAGTTAGTTTAGCTTACGTTAATTAAATGAATTAAACCTCAAGGTAGCCTTCTGGAGTAGGTAATCATTCCTATATTATTTTAGCTTACGTTTATGTACATACGGAGAGAAAACACACAAGCCTTCTTGGTTACTGCAAAGCAACCACTGTAATTCAGTCTTACATGTTTATCTATGAGTCCACAAGTGGACTCATGCACCATGTTATCATTGATCTATCTCTTATCCCATCTTCCTCCAGTTCCTGATGCTTTTATGATAGCATAGTAGCTATCAGAGAGGTTTTGGGAAGAAAACAGAAGGAAATATTAACTCATGTCAACGGACTTGGGATACACAGAATGCACAGAGCCCATTCAAGCCCCTCTACACCACTTAAAGAGCTCGTGAGGCTTGTGCAGACCCAGGGGATTACATGGGCCTTATGTAATGCAAGAAACTTAACCAGTCCTAGTGAACTGGGATAAATTCCATCATCAGTGCACCTCAAATGCAGCACTCACATTAGACAACACCAATCTACTAATCCTGAAAAAATCTAGAATTAAAAATCCTCTGAGGAGTCTATTGCAGAAAACAAACACTTCAGAAGGAGAGGAAAAAGATGGGAGAAAAGGAAGGGTGAGATGCAGAATGCTAACCAACACCTATAGTTAAGATTCTTGCACACACTCATTTGAATACACATTGACAAAACTGAACAAAGTGTAACTGGACAAAAACATCCTATAGAAATAAAATCCTGATGTTCCATATTCACTGCCATGTGGAGGGCATGTCTGTGATATGTTTTCTTAAATACTGCTTCCCCTCCTCACACATTGGTTTGTTTCCCAACCTCACAAAAGATTGTTTGAATCCAATAGATCTTGAATTTAATATTAATCTAGTTTTTGACTTTCTTTATGCAATCAAAAATTCTCTCATCAGATGCAAGACTCAAGAATAAAACTTCACATTGTTTAGTTCCAAAGTCTTACCTTGGACATATGCCACCATTGTGGCATTTACTGCATCAGTAACACATATAGCATTTTCCACGTCCAAGCCAGATACCACATATTTACCATCACATGAAATATTACATGAAGTTACAAGGCCTTCTTGGTCTACAGTCCACTGAAGAAGAAAATAAACCGTTTTGGAAGTCATGCTTTTTGGGATTAGTTATCACAGTTTCTTATCAGCTCTTCTATAATCAGTAAACAGGCTCAGAAGGAATAGATTTTGCTACTGTTTGATATTTTAATGAACTCTGATAAATGTGTGTTTACAGTATTTCAATTTTTTTAAACCCACTTCATATTTTGCATTAGCAGGAAATTTAAAATTAGATAGCACTGGCCAGCTGAGATCATAAAATTGGCCAGAAATATTAAATGAATTAAACCTCAAGGTAGCCTTCTGGGGTAGGTAATCATTCCTATATTATTTTACAGATGAGGTAACTGAGGCATATCAAGAAATCGATTTGCCCTAGGTCACACAGTTAATCGCTCTCACAGCTGAGTCTACAGACTCCAACTAGACCACATTACTCCCCAACGTGAGGATTGCATTTTTTTACTGTACCTCCAACTTAAAAATCTTTATGAATTTGATAATGTTACCAATTTCTGCTAAAAGCTAAACTCATTGAAAAAAATCAATACATACAAGCATTTTTCCTGTTTCCATATCCCAAGCCTTTACTGTTTTATCATATGATGATGTTATCACTCTAAAAATTAAGCATATTAACAAAAACAACAATCAACATTTCCATTAAAAGAACTCAGACTTAAAATGCTGTTAGTCTAGAAACAATAAAAAGTTGTCTTTGTGGGGGAAAAGCAAACGCACACCTTCAGTTTTCTGTTAAATTATTTGTTCTCCCTACTTTCCAGTAATTTAAAATAAATATATTTTGTTTTTATATTTTTGCAAAAACTATTGCCAAAAAAAGGAGTTAGTTGGAAATTTTGAAATAGAAGTTGGAATTTTTCGCACTAGAAATTAACAAAAGAATGCCTTCTATGTAATTTGGAGGGCAGACAGCCTATTCATTTTCATTTCATCCTATTACAAGTTATTTAATTATCACTAACTTTAGAATGCATGTAAAGCAATTATGGTGGGTTTGCTGTTATGAATGTGAAGTATCTTCGTTGCTAGTTATTTGCATTTTCAGGAGTTGATATTGCTGCGTAACACCACTGACCTTTCTTATGCACAAATACAAAGCTACATTACACAACAAAGCCATTTAATAAAGTTTACTAGAAACTGACAGGTTTTCTTAAAACATTCCCATATATTTGAAATACATTTATTCTGAATGTTAAAGAACATGATAATTATACTTTATTACCAAAATGGCTTTTCACTTGTTCAGTTTTTGACCAATTTATTACAGTGTCACTGAATATCATTTTATACAAGTTCAACATGAAAATGGATTTTAAATATATTAAAAGAATAAAAGGAACCTAGATGGCAAGGAATTTCATACATTGATCTTCTGACAATTGACAATGTATTTTCTGCTCTTCAATAGACATCATCTAACACATAAAGGCCATATCTAGTTTATGTATCGATGCTATTTTTGACTGGAAACAAATATAAAGGTCAAACAAACTATGAAACTCTGCTTGTCTGTTTAGCAATCTTCAAAAACTCAGGCAACAGCAAAAGGCACCATTAGCATAATTAAAGTGTGGTGACCAAAGTTTTTTTTGTCAATCTTCCAACTTGATTGGAATTGATCTAGACTATGCTCCACTGATAGCAATACCAGGAATAATACCCTTAGTGACATTGCTTGACCTACACAGTCAACTGTTTGTGTATTCCACAGCTCTTGTAGTGATTAATGTCCATGGCAGGACATTAGATAAGATGCATCTCCTGACAAAATTATAACAGCTGACTGCAGAGATATAGAATGCTGATAAACAATACAGAACTTTTTTGAATATATAAATTCCAATGTCAGAAGAAACCCATGATCCTAGGCTAGTTCACAAATTATTATTCATTTATACAATGGCATATATTTACATATCTCTAAATACATAGAGCTTACAGTCTAATCTAGACAAGTTCTGTGTCCTGAAGAGTTTGCTCTAACACTCACTGAAGCCAAATGAAACATTCCCATTCCTTAATGTGCATTGCATCGGGTTCTAAAATAGAAAGTTTTAAAGAGTGTTGGACAAGTTGTTGGTGAGAATAAGATCAGAAGAATTCCTGGAAGAAGTGAGTTTTTAGGATCTGAAAATAGAGACAGAGCTTTGTAGACATGAGACTGTTCCAAGTGTAGGGCTAGCATGAATGAAGGTGCAAAAAAGAGGAAGGAAAAGAAAGAGATGCAGAGGATAAAGAAGATAGAGAACAAGGGGGAATGAGAAGACATAACAGCAGGGGCTAGTTTATGTTGGACCTTTAAGGTAAGGAAAAGAAGTTTGAATTCACTATAATAGAAGATAGGAAGTCAATGAAGAGACTCAAGGAGGGGATGATACAACTGGAACAGCAGGAGACAAGATGAGTTCATCCACTTTGTGTAGACTGGAATAGGGAGAGGCGAGGAAGTCCTGAGAAGAGAAGTTTAAGACATTTAAGACAAGGAATTACTAAGACAAAGGGTTTAGCAGTGGGAATAGTGAGGAAAGCTGCACTTTGTTAATATTACTGCAAACAAAAATTACTTGTTTGAAGATAACACTTTGCAGGGTCCTCACTCTTGGGTCTTGTGCCACCAGCACAAGTCATTCAGGAAATTCTCCAAGGTCTTAACATTTATGACTGTAGGCTGGCTCTGGGATTCCCCCCAAGTGAACCTGCTCCCACTTCACAGGCCCCAAAGCATTTCAGATAGTTACTTTCAAGACTGGGAGGCAAGAGCTCCACAAAATCTTGCACTACATAGTAAATACAATAACCTTCTCTGCCCCGTGTGGATGGGTGAAGAATCCTTCTTCAGGAAAGCAGAATTACAAAGTAAATAATGTTCCATTCTCTAAAGACACCATCATCTCATGATTCTTATTCTGGGAGAGTAAAGAGCATGGGGAATGTCTCACAATAAAAACAATCTAATGGTGAATACTGCTGAAGATAATGTGTATAAAACCATGCTTATGTATTAAGAAAGAAATTACACTATGAGGCCTGTGTCTGCAAGAAAAACTTTTTTTTTTAAATGAAAGCATAGGTCTCTGGCAGTTATCTGACATGCTGTAAGATTGCTAGAATCAATGATCTCTAGCAACATTCCCAGTCAAGTTAATATCTTTTGAAATCATTCTTGAACCAGCAATCTGACACAAGGTCTTAGCTAAATCAGTAAACTAAATTATGGGCAAGTCTAAACTTAAAATGCTGCATTGGCACCACTGTAGCACTTAAGTGAAGACTGTAAGGAGAAGCTGTACCCAAGAGGCGGTAGCAATGTCAATGGGAGAGTTTCTCCCATTGACATGGCACTATCTACACTGGGGGTTAGGTCGGCATAACTACATCGCTCAAGGGTATGGATTTCTCAAACCTTTTAGTGACATAGTTATACCAATATATGTCTATAGCAGGGGTCGGCAACGTTTGGCATGCTGCTCGCCAGGGTAAGCACCCTGGCGGACTGGGCCAATTTATTTACCTGCTGATGCGGCAGGTTCAGCTGATCGCGGCCCCCACTGGCTGCGGTTCGCCATCCCGGGCCAATGGGGGCGGCAGGAAGCCGTGGCCAGCACATCCCTCGCCCGCGCTGCTTCTTGCCGCCCCCATTGGCCCGGGACGGCGAACCGTGGCCAGTGGGGGCCGCAATCGGCCAAACCTGCCGTGTCAGCAGGTAAATAAACTGGCCCGGCCTGTCAGGGTGCTTACCGCATGCCAAACATTGCCAACCCCTGGTCTATAGCATAGGCCTGGCCTAAGTTTCTGTCCTTCATTCTGTCAGAGGAGTTTGCTACAATGTGGCAAACACAGTTTGGCTGCTAGTGAACTTCTGTAGGGTCTCATAATTTAGGAGCCTTTTGTCCAATTCACATCAAATTTGGAAGAAAAATTCTACTTTGGCCTCAGAAATAACATACCAGTTTTGAGGTAATGCCTTTTTTGTGGATTTGAGAGAGGAATCCAATACTGAGCTTAGAATGAGTGGACTGGAACTTTAAGTATGTAGTGTAATCATCATAGTCACTTCTGTAAATGCTATTGCTCTAAATATAACAGAATACTTTTCCAATAATTTAGTGTCTAATTTCAAACACATCTGTTTACACCAAAACAATCATTCATTTTACTGCATTATAAAAGTAATATTAAATGGTTGAAGATAAGCTAACTGGCATAACAGTTTTTCTATCTGTACTTGTTTAACTTCTGTACTTCAACACAACTATTTCTGTATATTTAGAAAAAATTAATTCAATTTCCTCTCTAACAAATCTATCTATATGGAAGCATCAGAGCAATACTCAGTTTATTTGTTCTGAGTTTTGTCCTGGTTTTCTTCATTTGCTGTAAAAATGTAACACCTAGCAGTCAAATAGCACCACTTTCTCCTCTCTATTTATACTTACATATGAACTACAAATGAAAGGTCACCTTTTGTTATCAGGAGTCAAGCTGCACTCAGAAATGGGAGCTGTGTGTTTTTCTTCAAAGACTTGAACAGGAACACCTTTTTCAACATCCTTAAATAAATCCAAAGGAGCTTGATTAATGATTTTGAAAAGATAAAATGCAACATATAAAAGATCTGAAATCAGTGAACTTGGTCTCAGTTGTAGCATCTGATCTGAGAATTAGAATGATTATTACCTTTATCCATGAAAAAAAAAATGACCTTTCACCTGTTCCACAAATCAATCATCAATATTGGTGTCCTGAGACCACCGCCTGACATGCTGACCAATATTGTCTCATTATGTCCTTTTACTCCACTGTCTGTATCCACCTGTTGTCTCTTGTCTTATATTTTGACTGTAAGCTCTCTGAAAAGGGAGGGGTAATAGGCACCTATATAGGACCAAATATCGGGACTGTCCCTATAAAATCAGGACATCTGGTCACCCTAATCTCTCACAAGCAAGATGTCAACTCCTGCCTTCAGTCACCCATGACATCAACCTCCATTGCCCACTTGATACATTTACAAATACCTTTGTGCTTTCTCGCATTCTGCCTTTCATACTTGAAGGCGCTCCCTGTAAATATCTGTAAAGCTTACCTCATTATCCTCCGTCAAAACCCTCAAACATGACAAAGGTTAGACTACTAGTGTACTGCGACTACTGGCTATCATACTGACCAAAACTGTCTCCTTTCCTTTTACTCCCCTCCTTACCCTCCCCCCTTTGTGTCGTGTCTTATATTCAGATTGTAAACTCTTTGGGGCAGGGTCTATCTTTTGGTTCTGTGTTTGTACAGCCAGCACAATGGGGTCCTGGTCCACAACCAGGTGCTAGGATAATACAAATAATAATAATTGAGCTTTACACAATGGGAAGTGCCACCTAAACACATTTCAAATACTGTACAGTAAAGAAAGTTTGACATGCAGTGGTAACTCTAGGTCAATGTATTTTTATTCCTTTATTCATATGATCAAGTTTTTATTTTAAATAAGTAGTGTCACTAATTGCAAGGGGATTAATTGAACCTGAATAAGAGTTTTCAGGATCAGGGCCTGTGTGTGGCACTGTAAGTTGCCTTACTTGCACATGCCCCTTCAAAGGCTGCTGTGCTGTTCAGTGAAGCTTTACTACATTTGAACCTCCCCCTCACTCCCACCGTGTGAAATGTACACAGCCTGGGGCTTGGCAGCAGCTGCCCCTGACAGGATCCTTCAACTGGAAGTTATTCTGTTCAATTAACAGCTGTGAATGATACAGAGAATTTGAATGAAAGTAAATTTGTTTTAAGTCTGATTTTTCTTTCTTATTTTTCAGTGTTCCAATAGCAGACATTAGAGCCATCGTGTCTCTTTCTAAGGCTGAAACAAACAAAAAAAAACCTAACTTACAATTTTGTTTTAATTTTTTGAGTCAAGAAAACTGTCTTTCTAGTCTTATCTTGACCAATGGCTCTCAACCTTTCCAGACTACTGTACCCCGGTCTGATTTATCTTGCATACCCCAAGTTTCATCTCACAAAAATTACTTGCTTACAAAATCAGACATAAAAATACAAAAGTGTCACAGCACACTGTTACTGAGAAATTGCTTACTTTTTCATTTTTACTATATATTCATAAAATAAATGAATTGGAATATAAATACTGTACTTACATTTCAGTGTATAGTATATAGAGCCATATAAACAAGTCATTGTCTGTATGAAATTTTAGTTTCTAGTGACTTCGCTAGTGCTTTTTATGCAGCCGGTTGTAACACTAGGCAAATATCTAGATGAATTGATGTACCCACTGGAAGAACCTCTGCATACCTTCAGGGTACACGTGTCTCTGATTGAGAACCACTGATCAAGACCATGTGTACTGTGCCTTATTAATTTGTGTTTTCCAAAAGATGTGTGCACTGCCAGTGAAATATTTTCTATTCACAAGAGGAATTCCAAATACTTTCTTAGATACACATTTGACACCTAAAAAGAAGAACAGGAGTACTTGTGGCACCTTAGAGACTAACAAATTTGTTAGTCTCTAAGGTGCCACAAGT